CACTATCAGCTGTTCTTTAGAAGTCTTTCATTCCCCTCTTGCTTTCTGTAGCTTCTTTTTAGATTGACGTTATTTGTGGCTCCAGATAAAGAGAGTTCAAGATTCTGTGCTATGAAAGAATTTGCCAAGTTCTTCCTGAAGGTTCACAGAAGCCCAGGGTGATTCCAAATCATATGCATTTATCTCTTAGAGTGCAGGACGCACAGAAAGAAGTCTCCTAAATGATCTGTAAATTCTCCACTTCTCCATGAAAGCTTCCTGTCCCTTCAACTACACTCAGGCCTGGAAGCTTACATACATCCTTCTCAGGTTATAGCTAATGCTGTGCCTGATTCTATAGCAGCTGTTGCTTTTGAACAATATGATGCTTCTCTTCCCCCAAGAGAAGTTGAAAATGCCTCTTTTGCAGCGTTTTCCACCTTTGTGGACTCAGAGAGCAAAAAAAACAGACTGGGAAATGTGCCTGGGATTCTGTTTGGGAATTCAGGGCACAACTAAAGACCTTTGAGTTTAGCCACTTTCTGACATTGACTTTCATAGCAGCAGTTTAACTTGGAGAAAATCCGCTACCCCAAATGGCTAAAGGTATTTACGTGGAAAATTTTCCAAATGATTGACTTCACTACGTTGCTAATTTTCTTTCTCCATAAATATGTGAGTATTTGGCGTTCTTCCAGAAGTTTTTCTGCATCACTTCTTTTTAGGCAAAGAGTTTTTCTATCAAGAGAGGAAGAAGAAAGAGGCACCAAGAGTTATCCCCCTTTGAAGTGAATTACTATTTGAGTTTAAACCATAGCATCTGTAAAAATAAAGAATTTGAGTGTGTCTCCTGTTTTCTTAAATTTTCCTTTGGCAGATCTTTAAGGGAATCAGAGTAATCTTGACCACTTTAGAGCCAGTGGTCAGCTTTGTGCTTTCTTAGGCACCCCTCTATTATCTCCTTCCCTGCACGCCCCCCCCCCCATTTGCATAGGTCTTACTGAAGGTGTGGTCTCTACTCTCTCTGGTCTCCACTCCTCCCTTCCTTCCTCTCCTCCCACTAATTCTTTAGCCACCTCTCTATTGATTGCTTTTGTCAAGATCACCAATGGCTCCCTGTTACTTAATCCAAAAAATACCTTGGATTATAATTGATCTTCTCATAGCATTTGATATCACCAATCCCATTTTCCTTAGCTTCTTTGGCACCATTTCTCCTATTTCTCCCAGAGAATTTCCTCTTCTTCTGTCCCTTTCTAAGTGTTATTTCCTTGGGAATCAATCTTAGGCCAACTTTTCTTTTTACTCTACACAGACATACCTTGGGATAGTGGGGGTTCTATTGTAGACCACCCCAATAAAGCAAGTTTTTCAATAAAGCGAGTTGTAGTCTTTATGTTGGTGGCGGGGTCTTGACTTCAACTTGTAAAATAGGCAACATCTGCTAAGCACAATGCAGCGAGGTATGCCTACTCTAGTCCTGATGGGTATCATCTGCCCCATGGCCTCAATTCCAATGCCATAGGTAAGGTTCCCCATCCACTTCTCCAGCCCAGATCTTGGGAAGGCAGGCCTATGTCCTAATTATAGTAAACCTAACTCCTCTCTGTTTCTCCTTCTAAGTTTCCATTTTTAGTGAGGGAGTCCATCATTCACTGTGCAAGACAGAAGCCTTCCTTAACTTCTTCCTCTCTGTCTTTTCCCCTCTCCCATAAAATAAACTAACAAGTTTATTCTATTCTATTTTCTACATAAATTTTAAATTCATGCCTTCTCCCTACCTCTTACCAGTATCTCTCCCCCTGCCTTAGTTCAGGAAACGTGCAACTCGCATCTCAATAACTCTCTCTGGTCTTTCCCCTTTACCAATCCATCTTCCATATCACTGGAGAGATTTTTCTGATCACTGCATTTCCCTGATCAAAAGCCCCCACAATCCAGCCCTTCCCACCTCTCCGGCCTCAGTTCTGGGAACTCCCAACCTTGCTTTGTTCATTTGGGGTCACACTTAATTTCTTTCAATTTTTCAAACATACTGTGCTTTCTGACCTCTGGATTCTGTGTTGTTGTTGTTTTTTCCTGCCTGGAAAATCCCTACTACCCCTCTGGAGAATTCCTGCTTCAGTTTGGGTCTAAAGTTGAGAGCACTGCCTTTTGGATGTTCCCCTGGATGTTCTAAGCCTGGCAGAGGTGCCTCTCTCACAGCCTCTGCCCCATCGTCCCATTAGAGCAAGAGCAAGAGCCATCCTGTGTCATAATTGCCTGGGTCTTTGTATTCCCATTAGGTTGCCACTTCTGTGAGGACAGGAGCATGTGTTTTGTGTGGAAATTGTATCTCCAGTGACTCACACGATTGACGCAGAGCTGGCACGCAGTATATATTTGTGGAATGAATGAATGAGCCTCCAAGTAAGCCATGAACCAGCTTTTCTTAGGACACAGGTTCAAAATGCCTTACTCTTATCTGCAATTTCTTCCTCACGAGTCCAGTTCCAAAAGACAAATAAAACTTTGTTGCTGACAAAGCAACATGTGCCTCCCAAAGGGAGAGAAACTTTCCAGAGGTTCTGAGAATTAGCATATGGTAATTGTCAAATCCCAGTGTATCTTTTAATCGAACCTTCGCAGTGGTTCACTTAGCTTGTACTCAGGGCTTAAATTGAGTAGAACCTCATTAGGGATGCCTTAGTGAAAATGGGGAGAATGAGAAATACAGCTTTCCATGACAAGGAGGCGTCGGGGAAAGGGAGCAATCTGGTCTGTGGGCTCTTTAGTCTGTGTGTCTGACTGTACCAGCTCCTGATACAGGAGATGGTGGGAAGGACAGCCACAGCCACCAAAGTGGCCAGGATTGCCCTTTTCAATCCCATTCTGGGTTTTGTACTCCACAGGGATTTACTGTGTGCTTCCCTCCTTTCTTCTCTCTGAGCTTCCTCTTCAATGGCTTCCTCTTCAATGCCAGCCTCAGGAGCAACCTGGTTTTTTTGTTGTTGTTGTGTTTTTTTAATATATTTTGTATTGATTTCAGAGAGGAAGGGAGAGGGAGAGAGTGAAAGAAACATCAAGGATGAGAGAGAATCATTGATCGGCTGCCTCCTGCACGCCCCCTACTGGGGATCGAGCTCACAACCGGGACCTGTGCCCTTGACTGGAATTGAACCCCTGGGGTTCCTTCAGTCTGCAGGCCAACGCCTTATCCACTGAGCCAAACCAGCTAGGGCAGGAGCAACCTGGTTTTAAAGAGATTTCCTCCCTAGAAGCAAATCTTCCTGAGGGGAAAGACCTGGCTCAGCCGCCCATGCTTTCCTGGGCCCCTCTTTGCCGATCGCTGGTCATTCGCTCACGCTGTGCAGGCCACCCCAGTTCTTCCCTTCTGAGGGCTGTGACCAGGTGGGGCAAGCCAGGTTCCCAGGGACAGAACTGGAGAATCACCCCCTTGCAGATTGGCAGCCCTGCCCTTGCTCAGCCTGAGAGCCTCCGCTGACTCATCCCTCGCTCTCTGCCTGCAAGGCCGGCCCCCACTCAGCCGTCAAGCCTCCTTGCCTCTGCAACTCCTAATCCTCCAGCTCCGGCTCAGGTGCTGTCTCCTCAGTGAAGCTCTTGCTAAACCAGCAGTCCTTTCCCCACCCCAGCAAGCAGTCATCTCCCCCTCCCCCAGATCCCCAGAGGCCTTACTTATACCTCTCTGAAGGCACTGTTTACCTTGTTGTTAAACTACTAATTCTCAAGGACAGTCTTTTTCTCAGTCATTACCTAGCACAGGGTTTGGCATGGCGTCAGGATTCACAAGCCAGTAAGGTGAGAGGAGCCATCAAGGGGAGAAGAGAAAAGAGCAAATAATGTTAATCGCATGCGGGTGGGAGGGGCGGACATGGGCCCTGGGGCCGGTCTCCCTGGGTCTGATCTCTGGCTCTGCCACTTCCTGGGTGTGAGAGAGTGAACATGTTACATCATCTGTCTATGCTTCCAGCTCTTTATCTTTAAAATGGGATCACTAATGGCACCCCAACATAGGGCTGCTGTGAAATCTGAATGAGACTTAGACTCATGTAAAGGACTTAGCACAAGCCTTGTTGCACAGGGAACATCTTAGTCAGGATTCAGAATAAAAAGGGTCTAGTGAAGATACATCCATGGAAAATGCAGGTGTACACACCAAGGGGAAAGCACATTTGTGACTGATGTCACAAGTAAAGTTAAATCATCAATGATGGAAGAGAGAAGCAATGATCTCATACTCCCTGGAGAACCCAGGTGACTACTTTTTTTGAAAAGACAAATCTTATCTCTGTAATTCAGTAAAAGAGTAGCTTGGACAAGATGATGGTAAGAGAGGCTGCCCAAAAAAGACAATGGAGGAAGGCCAGATGCTGGGGGAG